AATCCAGAGAGTGTAGAGCTGCCACAAGAACGCTACCACCAGCGCTAAAACTCCCCAAAACCTGTGAAGAAGAAAACATGAGCAAAGTTGATATTTACACCACGATAGACAAAACATTACCAGCCGAGGAAACTGAAAGCCACAGGCAGGAGGAGGCACTGAAAACCAATCCCAGCGTTGAGATTGTGGAAGGCCGAGTAGTAGGCATTGCCATTTCGAGACTCGGTGATAGGCAGCCATGCGTCTTGCGGATTAAGTTTTGCAATATGCCCGATTTCTTCCAGGTAGCACTTCATGTTGCCGAAAGCTTTGCGCATTGGAGTTCCCATCGGTGACAGCATCATTCTCCTCGGAGAACGGGCAACAGATGGCGGAATGCTGTGGTTGTTCTGAGGAGTGGAAGGCAGCGAAGAGACCTCGGGTTCCCGTTCCATTGCAAAACTCGAGAACTTTCCCCCATCTTCACCCATCCTGTTCCTGAGCTAGCTATGAGCCCCTCAAGACCAATGCTGGTCCAGATCCGGGAAAGATGATAGCAGCCGATACGATAACATCGATTCCGGCCCTCAGCTTCGTGTTGTGCAAACGAGCGCCTCTACTGTCGCAGTCAGCTGCATCAGTTGATAGCCGGATGAGAGATGGACCCCTCGAGCACTTAAATGCTTCGGAACTTTCCCAATTTCAAGAACCACACCAAGAGCGTGGCGCGATGCTGCGTGGTTTGCAAAGCCTGGAAAAACGAAGCACCTAATCGCTGTCGCTGATTCTGGAGATAATACTTGACAGTATCTGTGTCTGATCATCCCTGCTCAACAAAAAACATTTGACTCGTTAGTGAGACAAGGGAAAGAAAACAAGGACGTTACTTACCAAGTGGATGGATGATGCCTTGACCTTGGCAGCAAGCGGAGCAATATAGGAAACGGAAAGAAAAATCTTTCCGCCGGCTGGCTGGCAAGCACTGTTGCAGCGTCGGAAGCAAGTTGCAAGCTGTTGGATCCAGTACCCCCGTCTAGCTGCTGCTCTATCTAGGAAATGCCAAAAATCCAGCTTGGTATGAATGCTGCTTCCCCTCAAAACCATCTCTTTTCCCAGATCACCAACACTGCTGCTTGCTGCCTCGACTTGATCCAGCAGTATATGTCAATAGTTTTTTCCTCTTCCGCAGAATGTTACGGCTTTTCCACTGCTCGGCCAATTGTTTCCTTCAGTCCTTTCTTCACGTCACATGCACCATGTTAGAAAAATGGCCCATTTGCTGACACAAAGTCAATACGAGCTTGTTCTTCATCTTCTGGCTCCTCCCGAGAAGAACCCACACTTGGCTCTGGTCTGAGTTCAATAAGTCAGTAGCTTTAAATGCCCGGCCGCTTACACATCTAGCTGATAGCGTGTACGGAAGGAGATGCCATCCCCGACTGGCCTGGCCCTGCTTGGCAGCAGCATGACTGTCCACCAGAGGTGGCGTCCGCCAGAGTAGAACACGTTGCGGAAGTTGTGAGCCGCGCCAAGATCAAACACGTTCACCCAGGCCTGCGGAGGAAGTTTGGTCAGAGCTTGGAAAAATGAATGCTGTTTAGTCTTTTACCTTGCCTCTGCTCTTAGCTTCTAGCTTCCGTTGTCTATTCCCATAAAAGTCAATGGTAGTCTGTCATGGACACGCCCCACTTCAGTTCAGTTTCGCTAAAACGAAAATGCGCCACACGCACACATACCTGTGCGGTCACCACAAGGAAGATGTGCCATCCAAAGAGACAAGACAAGGCTCCAAAGATGCCGAAAGAGAGAACGAAAGTAAATAGCAGTTGCCACTCCTGCTCGTTCTGGCCACGAGGCAAGCATTTCGTTAAAAAGTGATTAGGAGCGCAAGATCTCATTTTTCTCAATCACGAGAGAGAAAACGTACATAGTCATCGGCGAATAGCAGCTGAGAAGACATGTATACTGCATAGGCGCACCCAATCCAGAGATAAAACACTGCCACGAAAATATCCCACCCAGTTCTTATCGGCTCAGCTCCGAGAACAAGTATCATACTTACAAAATACAAAGAAAAATCTGTAGTTGTAAAAACCAACGCAGTTGTGCATCCACGCTGCAAGCTATGTCAAAGAAACGAAAACAGAATACTTGAGCACAGAAAAATAGGAAAAAGGGATACGGCAGTGATGATCCATTCTTAAAATGCACCTAGAATTGAGACTTCGAGTAAGAAAATCAAGTTGAAGGACGCTTTCTTACCTCTTGCAAATATGGCAGTGGTGAGTAAACGCAGGTTTGTTCTTGTGGCCTGCAAAGCAAGGAAAATTTTTTCTTTAGAAGGACGAAAGGAAGGAGCAAACGGACAATGCTTGCACCATCTTGTTCCACTGTCCTGCGAGAAAGGAGGGCCTATAGTGAGTACCAAGATAGAAAAACCAAACACAAAAACTCACAAGAAAATCTGCTGGAGGGCTGCCAGGATCAGTGAAGATACAGTAGAAATAGTTGAAGAAAACGTTTAGAATGAGCCAGCAGCCGATCGCGGCGTGTAGCAGTCCTCTCAACGAGTACATATTGTGTAGAGTGGGAAGAATCGTGGCAAAAAACAAGTAAATCACGGAGCTGGACGCTCGGATCACGGATCGCGCAGAGGAAAACCAAAGAAATATCGCCATACCTCATAAGGAAGAACGCAAGAAAAATGTAGGTCGGCCCTGCCGCTTGAACGGACTTATCGATGCAACTCTGGATCTTCGCCACGGCTCTGCTCCATCTGCGAAAAATTCCAATCGATCGATCGACCACAAGAAAAATGCGTGAAATTTCCACTCACAGATGCGATCGAAGAAGAATCGCGAAGCAGCGCTTCATCGCGCTTCTCGCATGCTAAGTAAAAACCCTAAGTACGTCTAGGGTTTATCAGTGGAATGGGGACACCGCTGGAGGGGAGCGTGCGCAATGTCCTGGATCAAGAGCAGCTCAAATGGATCTTCGTCGGTGGTAAGGGCGGCGTCGGCAAGACAACGTGTAGCTCCATGCTCGCGATCCTGCTCGCCGAAATCCGGCCCTCGGTGTTGATCATCTCCACGGATCCGGCGCACAACCTCAGCGATGCGTTCCAGCAGAAATTTACGCGCACGCCAACGCTCGTCGATGGCTTCTCCAATCTCTTCGCAATGGTTCGCTCCCGAGAATCTCTGATCTGCGCTGGTATGCTGCTGCGTTCTTCTTTGCTATATTTTTTTTTGTGTTCTTCGTGGCTTCTTTATTAGAATGTTTCTTTGCTGGATCATTGTCTTGGTCTCCTTCTAATGGATTGATCAGGAAGTGGATCCCAGCATGGAAGGCGACGAGTTGGATGCTTTCGAGGGAATGGGAGGATTTCTTTCGGAACTTACGAATGCCATCCCCGGCATTGACGAAGCAGTGAGCTTTGCTGAGATGCTAAAGTAAGCTCTCTATTGTATTCTTCATGGTCCTCAGTCTTTCTATCTATTTTTTGATGATCTAGGCTTGTCAAAACCATGGACTATTCGGTGATTGTTTTCGACACAGCTCCCACAGGACACACACTACGATTACTCCAGTTTCCTTCGACGCTAGAGAAGTGCTTGGGAAAAATGATGAGCCTAAAGAACAAGTTTGGTGGCATGATCAGTCAGGTACTTGCGAAGAAAAAAAGGCTATTTCCCTCACGTTTCACGGTTTTACAGGTTTCGCATCTATTTGGTCTGGGTGACGAGTTTCGAGAAGATGCTATCATGGGAAAACTCGAGGCCATGAAAAGCGTGATTGAGCAAGTGAACGAACAGTTCCGCGACCCGGTAAGTAAAGCAAAAGCTCTGTTTTTTTTTCCTGTAGTCTCTATTTTTTCTAGACATCAAACAACAGCAACTCGACTGCTGCAGGATTTGACAACCTTCTTATGCGTTTGCATCCCAGAGTTTTTGTCACTGTACGAGACCGAGAGATTAGTCCAGGAGCTCGCGAGGTTTGAGATTGACACTCACAACATCATCATAAACCAAGTCCTGTTTCCAGAAGAAGGTGAGGGCCACACCGATTCAGACTCTCATCTCGCTGACTTATGGACTTTTTTTGCAGCCTCCGACTCGAAGCTCTTGAAAGCGAGGTTGAAAATGCAGCAAAAGTATCTGGACCAGTTTTACGAGCTCTACGAGGATTTCAACTTGACACTCTTGCCGCTGCTACCGGAGGAGGTGAGAAAAAACGCTGATGTTAGCAACTAAGATTTTTTTGGTTTCTGGCAGGTTCGCGGTGTCACTGCCCTCAAGAAATTCGCTGCGAATTTAATGACACCATACAAGCCAGCGGCGGCATCAGCGTCGGAGTTACAAGACGAATCAATCGAAGCGGCAACTTTGAGACTGCGCGAGCGAATCTCTCAGTTAGAAGCAGAGCTGGAAAGAATGAGAAAGGGAAAGCAAATCGCGGACTAGCCTAATAAAACCCCCCACGGTTATCTTTTTTAATGACTAACCCGGTATATCCCAGCCGGAGATCCGCCACCTGGTGGGCTACGTCAGCCCCACTAGGCCACGGGGGCTTGCCAAAGATGTTTTGAATGGCGAATACTTTGGAGGTAACAATGATGACACCAAGCCTCATGCCAAATCTTTCGGATATCTCCAGCGCGGATTTTACACACTACGAGACGCGCGAGCTGCCTTGTTCCTATTCGCTATATGCCCGCGTTGGAAAGGGGGGTGAAAGGAACTATTTAGCCCTAGGAGAGATGCGCATCGTGGAATCTAGGGCGGACACGTTGGCGCCCGTTGAAAGCCAAAAGGACGGCTACCGATGCGCCGCGATCGGGGCGCCGCAGCGGGGACGACACGTGCTACGCTTGGCTCGGACAAGGGGGTCACCCACGACGTTGGCCTTTGGGCGTGACACGCGTCGCACATCCAGCAGCGTCGCCACTGTCCCAACTAACAGTTTTACTAGATTAGCCAGCGGGGCGAGGGGCCAGATTTAGCAGAAAGACCCTCAAACCCCCGCCCTAATTTTCCCTGAATAGAAGGCTTCCCAGTTTTCTCTCTTTTTTTTTTTCGCTGGATTTGGCATTTTTCTTTGCTCCCCATAATCTCCTCTGGCGCTCGGCCTCATCGTGATCCCTTTCTCCTCTTTGAGGCGCTGGAGCCTACCCTAGGGAATATTTTGTGTTTCTCGATCAATCCATCAATCGCTCGATCGCTCGCTCGCGGCGCGCTCTAGAGTCTTCTAGCGTCTTCTTTGCTCCGCTCTTCCAGTTCCAGCGGTCGCGTCGCGCCGGGCCGCGCGGCCTGTTCTTGGATCTTCAAAGAAGATTATTATGATTCCTTGCAACGGCAACAGCAGCAGCAGCGGCGGCGGTGGCAACGGCAGCGAGGTGGAGGAAAGATCGTCTTCGCAGGAATCCCAGGGGGCGGTAGCGGCGGCGGGGAATGTAGGAGGCGAGGGCGCGGAGGCGGCGGCGGCGATCAGCTGTTTGGAGCTGGATGCATGGATTAGGGACGACGATGGCGCTATTGACTGTATGATGATGCTGCCCGAGGTGCCGCTCGACGGGGATTCCACCAGCCCAGAGGATTCCGGCATGCACACCCAAGATTGCTGCGAGCAATTCGAGCACAAGCAGCACGAGGACGAGATGATCTTCTGTCGATCCAGTTCCAGCTGCTCATCGACCTTTCCGGATTCCTGCGCCAATCAAGAAACGCTCGAGCTTAGTATCCCCGACGATTTCTTCGGCGATAGGCAGCAGCAGCACGACGAGGAGCGGCAGCGGCAGGCCGAGCAGCAGCTCCTCCCGCCGCTCACCGAGGCCAGATCCGGCCACCAGTTTGCTCCTGATCTCCGGAAGATCATCGTGAAGAAGCCGGTCATGGACAAGGCGGTGGAGCGCCTGGGCGGCGGGCGGCGGGGAGCTATGAGACTGTGGAACATCATCCAGGTGTGGTTGAAGCATCAGCAGCAGCAGGGCGGTGGTGGATCGATGGATGGTTTCTCGCTGCCGTTCGAGAATTTCGGTGGCTTCATGGACGTGCCCGTCCACAACCAGCAGCAGCAGCAGCAGCAGCAGCAGCAGCATTTCCAGCACCCGGGATTTCCAGTGGCTGGTGGATTTGGTGGCGAGGCCGCCTCGACTGGTGGTGGTGGTGGTGGCCAGTTCTACGGGGACCCCAACGTTGTCCCCGGCCAGCACTTCTCCTCGGCGTATCCGGATGCTACCACCACCGCCGCGGACGTTGCTACTCCGCGATCAATGGCGACGGCTCCGATCGCCAACTCGGCGTCCGCGGCGGCCACCACTCGGGCGGCTCGAAAGAGTAGAATGGCTCGCCAGCGCCGCCACAAAGGTGGGTTTGGGGGCACTAGCCTTTCGCATTCGCCGGTGGCCACCAGCGCTGGAGCTTGGTCCTCGGCCTCCACGGCGGGATTTTTAGCCACCACGGCGACGGCGGCGACGATCACCACGACCACCACTTCGAATTCGTCACTATCTTTGGCAACGACTCATGGGGCTCTGGGAGCTCGTGAGCAGCATCAACATCAATTCGGTACTTGTCGCGATGGGATCAAGGTGGGTTGTGTGAAATTCCCAATTCTTCTTTGCATGCTACTTGGGCTCGAGACACTGGGTTTTTTTTTTTTTTTTGTTTTTTTTTTTGTCTTCTTGGTCCTGTTTTCAACTATTTGAACGTTTTTTTTTTTCAATCCAGGCACGAATGAGTTGCGATAAGAGCGTCAAGTTCTTGCTGCAAAAGGAGCTCAAGCCCAGCGATGTGGGGAATTTGGGACGGATCGTCTTGCCAAAGGTACTGTTGTAGTTCTTAAGCTTGATTTTGTTTTATGCTTCATCCTCCTTTGATCTTTCTCCAACCACCATTCTTTATGGGGTGTGTGTGTGGGTGTGTGTATGTATGGTGTACTGTGCTTGAGCTTTCAAGCTGATTGTGCTTTTCATTGAGCTGGCTGTTGATTCATTTGTAACAGGACACTGAGAACAAGGCCTGAGACCACTCAAGTTGGATTTTGGTCTTCTAATGACCACCACCACCACTACCTGTCTTCCAATACCTGCCTATCTTCGATTGGTCCTTTTGCCATCCTCTTTTTATACGCATACAAAAGAACGCAAAAGTGAAAGAGGGAGAAGGCTGGGCCAGGGAGACAGATTCTTATTTATAATAAACAACGGAACTCTTGACACCTCACTCGGTTGCTGTGACAACTTTCACTTTTCTTCCCATTCTATCCTTTTTTTTTTCCTTGTTTGTTGATTTTTTTGCCGTGATTGCATCTCTTCTTTGTCTGTGAGGCGGTGTGGTGTGATCGGATCTCTTCTAGAGCTAATTCTAACGCGTTTAAAGTTTGCTCTTTTTTTCTTGCTTTGGCAGAAGGAAGCCGAGATCCATTTGCCGTATTTAAGCTTGAGGGAAGGCATCATGCTGGCGATGGAGGATGTACTGACAGCCCAGACGTGGCACTTTCGCTACAGGTACCAGTGGTGACTATAGAATTTCTAAGTTTTCTGCTTACGCTGCAGACGATGATGATGGTGATGGTTGATGTTTACGTTCTGTCTCCCATTTTCTCGCCATGTAGTACAGCCATGCTATATGCTAGGATAAGTTCACTGATCATATAACCGTCGTCCGGAAGTTTAAGGAGAGTTATGCTCGAGATCTAGAGGCGCAGGTAGTGTGATTGAGATAAGCTAAGTAAAGAGTTTAGATCTCATCGTCTTAAGTCCTTTGTTGACAGGAGTGTATTGTAGTGCAGTGTAGCTTTTTTCTAACCTTTAGTTACTGGCTTTGACGTTAACACTCCCTTTGTTTCGTGCCTGTGCAGATTTTGGCCTAACAACAAGAGTCGCATGTATCTTCTGGAGGGCACAGGTACCATCAAAGCCCGTTCGTTCTCTCTCCAGGCAGTTGTTTAATTGGGCTTTCGATTGCATGAGCAGGTGACTACGTCAAGTCGCATCTGCTCAAAGAGGGCGACTTGATACAAATATATCGAGACGCAAAGACTGGAAAACATGTAGGCTTTGCTTTCGTTTTGCAAAACCAGAGTTTTCTGTCGTGTCTAACTTGGTCCCGGCCGCCAGATCATCTGTGCGAAGAAGTTCGCTGCCAGGCCAGTGACACCAGCGGCAGAGACAACCACGACCACCACGTCGAGCAAGCTCGAAGATGACTGCCTGAGCGGGGCTTCCACCGTCTCGGACTCCTCCAAGGACGCTCCTCCGGTCGAGCAGCAGCGTCCTGGATCGAGAGCTTGCGTGAAGAAGAGGAAGGTGACGAAGCCTACAGTCAGTGTGGGAGCTCCAGTGGCAGCAAACAGTGGCGGTGGTGGTGGTGTCGGTGGTGTCGGTGGTGGTGATGAGATTGAGAGGTTCCCAAGCATTGAGATGGAGGATGAGTTTATCGACGAGATCTTGGGAATGGTAGATGCGGAAGAACCGAGTAGTCCCGAGAGCTGCAAGGAAGACGACTAAACAGGCTACAAGAACAGGAAACCATAGAAAACCATAGAAAACAATGCAAGAAGAAACAAATGTCCAATTTTGCATATAAAAAGAGGCAGTAAACTGCAAAAACTTTTGTATAGAAACTTTTGTCTACCTCTCTTCCCATTATCATCGAATCCCCGGGCCTTTGAAAAACAACGCTCCTCAAAAGAATATATATTCTCGTGATTCACTGATATATCATCTTTTTGGGTGAGCATATCACGATCAACTCGACGAAGATCTCCTCCTGTACTCGTAAGTTTTATATGCGGCGATTCCAAAGAACACCAGTGCTGCCCCGACTGCGCAAGGACAAAGCAAGCGTTACGATTGACAAGAGGAGAAGGAACTAAAAAAAAAAGAGGAACTTAAGGAGAAAGATAAGATCTCTCGCTTGCCTGCAGTTATGGTGAGCGAGCGATTGACTATACGGTTGAAGCTCTTGTGGCTCTTGCCAGCCTCCGTCTCGGGGATGCTCAGATGCGGACGCTCCGCAGCGTCCACGATCCGGCGGAACAAGTTGCCAATGTCTCCCAGCCGCATGCTCACTGCGATTGGAGCTTCCACGCCCATGTCTGTGCACACCTGCGGAGACGCACGAGCAAACAGATATATACAAACTTAAAAAGTTGAGGACTGCCCGGAGCACCAAAGACAAGAAACTTAAATGGCATACCCGAGCAGAGTTTTGGATGGCAAGAGGATCTGGCTCCAGGTCGTCTTTAGCCGCTATGAGAAGACAGGGAACTTCATATCCACTGTGCTCGCCAAGCGCCGTCACCTTTACAAGGATCTCCGAGGCACGTTCCCAGGAGGCATCATCGGAGCTGATCACATCATCTTGTCAGCGAAGAGAGAAGAAGTAATCCATTGAATCTTACCTGTCATACACGAACGCTGCGACGTCACAAGGAGCTAAAGCATCCTTGGTTTGCATGAGATTAGCCACTTGCTCTTCTGGAATCTCTCTCAAGACGAGTGTCTTTTTCGTCCCCTGGAAGAAAAAACCAAACACGATCGGATCCTTGTAAGAAAATTGTGACGAATCGCACCCTGGTCTGTTCGACGATGTTAGCAGAAAATCTATCCTCCTCTGTTGAGCGAGACGTGTCAGCGAAAGGCCTGCATGCAAGTGTGAGCTCTATCGGATCAGAACAAGTAAAAGTAAATAGTTTTACCTCCCGATGAGAGCATTTAGCAGCGCAGATTTTCCAGCACCTCTTGGGCCAAACACGTAGCACTGGAAAATAGTGCGCTGAGAGCGCTGCTTTTTTCGGTCCAATCGCCTCCGGCGAGTAATCCTAAACGCTGACGTAAGGTCCGCCGGGTACCCGATGTAGATCAGGTGGCCCAGACTTTTCACAGGATCCAGCAACGTCATAAGGGACCACTGCATGATCAAAGAGAAAAAAAAAACGCTTGTGCCCGTGCTCAAAGCACTATCGAGCTAACCTGAGACAAGAATCCGTTCAACGTCACGCCACCCATCGCGTTCACTTCAACACTGCCTTCGGAAAGGTCTTCCTCCCAAGGGCTGCCAACCAGGTACAGCGTCAAGCAAACATTCGCATGAAATGGTGACACTTACTTCGAAGGTGCCGTAGAGAATAGCTCCTCAATCTCCTGTGGCCTCAAGGCACCGTCCTACACCAATAACCGTCAGCCAGACATTCGCAAACTCAAGAACAGCTTACTCCGTCCATGTCAAAAGCAGCGAACACCCCTTTCAAAAAGTCGAGACACCTTTCGGTGAGCTCCACGCTCTGGAATAAAATGTTAGCTACTGAAAGCAGACAATAAGTTGACCAACAAGAAGCTCACTTGATCAGGAGCACGTTTAAAAGAAGGATTTTGTAGCAAATCCTCCCTCAACTTCAGCTCGTCATCGTACCCATACTTGCGTAGAACCGTCCACGTAGTCTCGAGACGGCCTCGCTCAATGAACAGTGCGTGAAGGAAAAGAAATCCGGTCAAGGTGAGGCCATTCTCACTGACACCCTCCGGCATTTTTTCGGAGACAACCTTTTTCACCCCAACAATCTCCGGAGGTTGAAGAGGCGCATGGAAACATCTGACCTGCGTGACAAAAAAAAAAAAAAACAAAACGAGTCACTACACTAGAAACTCCCATGACAAACCTGAAAGTCATTCAGCTCAGAGTCATTCAGAGCCCCGTCGCGGTCGTGATCGCAGAGAATAAAAATCCGCTTGAGAGCTCGGATGCACTTGGGCTTTAAGCTTTGCGTCTCTTGATCGAAGAGTGGTGCAGTGGGATGTAACACGGCTTTCTGGGCGTAATAGAAAACCTCTAAAACCTGCTCATAAATGGGTTTTAGACTCCCAGTGAGAAAAAATAGCCACAAGAAGAAAAGCTTCATACCTGTATTCGTTTCAACGCCGAGCACTCGATGCATGTCTCAATCTCGCGAAAGTCGTGCATGATAGGAGCCATGACTTGCTCCAGCATTGGCTCCTTGTCCTGTCTCAAGTCGAGCTTACACCCCACCACGATGATCGGAACTTTCACCTACACCGAACGTTTTAGCTTCTCCAATCGCGAAAGAAAGAGCTTTTACCTCGAGAGCTCGAAGCTCCGGAAGCCAATACGTCTGGATACTCTCCAGAGTGGAAGGCTGGTCGCAAGCATAAGTAAGCACGATCGTGTCGGCCTTCTTGCATTCCTGCTCAACGAGTTCTCGATCCTCTGGCCTGCGCGGTATGAACGCTCAAGCTCCCACAAATCTACTTCCAAAAGTTACCTGGATGGAGTGTCGATGATGGTAAGAGGAACCCGATCCGGAAGAAAATCTGGCGGCAATTTCGTCGGCAGCAGCACTGGCGGCGCCTTGTCGGGGAAAGATTCCGCCGCGGCGGCGACGATGAGGCTGGACTTCCCTGTTCCAGGATCCCCGACCACTACCACGCGCACATTTGAAATCCCGCTAGCTGCCATCGCCAAAGCAAATAGCCCCACTTCGCCAAGCCCTAAAACTTAGAATGGCCGCTCGGCGGCGCCGCCTCCTCTACAACCGGTGGCGCCGCCAAAATCCTCCTAAAGCCCTAAAAATTCGCCTCCCATTAAAAGTTTTAGGGTTTACGGCAGCGCGAGCGCCATCGCCATGACGATCTCGCAAGACTGTCGGATGTACGAGGCCAGATTCCCCGAAGTGGACGACGTGGTGATGGTCCAGGTATGTGATTCTCTCTCCCAGCTAGAAATCTGTGGAATTCCTGAGCTAGAATCTCTCCTCTCAAGGTCAAACACATCGCGGAGATGGGCGCCTACGTCTCGCTGCTCGAGTACAACAATATCGAGGGGATGATTCTACTGTCGGAGCTCTCGCGGCGCCGGATTCGCAGCATTGGGAGCTTGATTAAAGTGGGCCGCCAGGAGCCAGTGATGGTTCTCAGGGTGGACAAGGAGAAGGGTTACATTGATCTCAGCAAGAGGAGGGTCTCGGAGGAGGACATTGCGGTGTGCGAGGAGCGATTCAACAAGAGCAAGCTCGTTCATTCAATCATGCGTCACGTTGCTGACACTGAAAGTGTCGATCTTGAGGTATGAAAAAAGGTTTCTTTTCACGACAAGTTCTCACTTCTTTTTTTTTCCTCATGTTCTCACTTCTTCTTTTTTCCTCATGTTGTGCAGGATCTCTACGTTCATGTAGGATGGCCTCTTTACAAGAAATATGGCCATGCATTCGAGGTAAGTTTCTTTCTCTCGACATGGAGGAAGTTTGCTTCACTTTTTCCCTCTGGAAATTTTGTAGGCTTTCAAGGTCATGGTAGCAGATCCAGATACGATCTTGTCAGGGCTAACGAGAACAATCAAAGAGACTGGACCGGACGGACAAGAGGTACTAAAAACTGGTCATTCTTTCTCTTTTATTTTCTGCTCTATTGCCTTTTTCAGGTTACGAAGACGGTTCCAGCAGTGACGGAAGAAGTCAAAGATGCTCTTGTGAAGAACGTCCGGAGGCGAATGACGCCCCAGCCACTGAAGATCAGAGCCGACGTTGAGCTCAAGTGCTTCCAGTACGATGGTGTCCTTCATATCAAGGTTTGGTTTCGCTTGCTTTCTCTCGACGATTTGTTCTTTACTTCTTTATCCTCATTTTCCAATTTCAGGAAGCAATGAGACAGGCTGAAGCCGCTGGTACCGCGGACTGTCCCGTGAAAATAAAGCTAGTAGCACCACCGCTGTACGTTTTGACGACTCAAACACTAGACAAGGTACACAAAATTCTCCAAAGCTGATTGTGCTGAGCGTTGGAGTTACGCAGGAGCAAGGGATAGCAGTGCTAGTGGAGGCAACGAAAGCTTGTGCCAAGTCCATAGAATCTAACAAAGGAAAGCTTGTTGTGAAAGAGGCGGCTAGAGTGGTGAGTCCCCAAGAGTTTTTTTCTTGCTTCTCTCGGTGTTTGCTCACGAATTCTCCTTGTCCCAGGTGAGCGACTCGGACGATCGCCATCTTTTGGGACGGCTGAGTGAAGCAAACAAGGAGGTGGATGGCGATGGCGAGAGTGAGGAGGAGGAAGACACTGGAATGGGGGAAGCCGACGTTGATGCTGTGAGTGGGCTTGTAGAGTAAAGATGTATGCTCTTTTTGGCGAGTTATCACAAGTAACAGGCCTTAAGCCCAAATCAAAGTAGTTTAAAGGTTTTCCAGAGTGATTATCTACAAGGCCGGGACTTTGACCACTTCACGGCACACAATGGCAAGGATTTCATCTCCTTCCAGGAGCTCTACACCGCCATTCTTCTCGTCTACTGTCTCCGGAAAATGCTTGTTTATATCGCTGTGTATAGCGGATTTTGATACCGATATAGACTTACTTCTAGAGCCTCAACTTTCCAGCACAATTTTGTAGAGAAGAATTATCGTTATTCATACTCCTTCGATCGTATTCTGCAGCTGCACATCTGTTTTGATTGTTTCTATGCAAAATGGATTAGGAGCTTGTTCTGACATTTGGCAAACCATGAGACTTTCACCGCCAAAACTGATCAACTTCAACCTTCATGTATAAGACAAGCTCTCGTGAGCCGTCATAACAAACCATGAGGTACTAACTACTTTATCTTCTTCTTCTGCTTGTGTTCAGCTTTTATAATGGCAATTAGAATTGAAGACTGTGGTGGCTTCCGAAGTCCTGCTTAGATGCTTCTTGCGAGCTTCACATGGATCCTGACTGCAACTCGCGCTCAGGATAATCGCCTTCTACATAAATCAAGTGGCTTTGTTGGGTGCGTCGGGAGCGATCAGGGGTGGAATCAGATTGTGTCGTCGTTTTCAAAATGTTGTATGTCTAGATTATAAATATGTTTCCAAAGTCATAAAAACAATAACTCCTCAGATAATGTGCAGAAGAAGTTCAGACCACCCTGAACGTATCCACTTAACAAATACTAACAAATGTTTTTTATTCAACTTCAAGCACTCGATTATAATAGCCAGAGCACGCAAGGCCCGCCCGTTCTTCGCTTGCACCGGGTTCGTAGAAACAGACGCCTCTAGCTTCGAGAAATCCAAGGTGGCCGTCAAAGTACCACGACAAACTAAATCCTATATTAATCTAATTCAAAACATCTTCATTTAGATCGGTTCCTTGTTTCGATCGTCTACTCCTTGGGCACCATTAAATTAATTTAATTTTAATTTATCACTAGTGTTCTATTATATTCTTATGTTGAAATAAGTTCTAAACTTAGGGAGAATACTTTGATTAGTAGCTTGTTTTAAACAGCTAGCATACACCTTTGCTTCGCTTATTAGCTAGCATTTAAACAAGCTACTCATGCTACTCATTTAAAATCAATATACTCTCTAAGTGTAGAACTTAATATAATTTTAATTTATCACTAAACATAATAATTTTCACTTATAGAAAACCTTACTTGATTGTCGCAGACACTACTGGTCCGATCGTAGAAATTGGAAACGATGCATGCAAATTTCTTTGAGACCGGCATTATATAATATATGAAGTGTTTACACTCAGAGCCCAACGGCATGCATGCAATGCAATCCGAAGATATCCGACCCCTGACCCACGGAGACTGAATACCTACTTAGACTTCCAGCTTCCCAGCCAACTCTTATTTATCGCCTTGAATCCCAACGCATCCTTTACGTTAGGAAGAGCCCTAATGATTTCCTCAGGAGCCATGAGGGAGCGGCCGGCGCCACACATCCAGGAGCCTGCTTCGGAGCACACCCACACCGTCATCCTCCTCCATGGCAACGGCAGCGACGGGCCGCAGTTTTGGAGGGCGATCCGTCGGATGCGCCCCTCTCTCTTCGCCAAGTTCCCGAGCTTCCGCTGGGTCTTCCCCAGCTCCGGGCTGCTGTGGTCGAGCTCCATGGAGATGGAGCGCAAGCAGTGGTTGGATGCCTCGCCGCGGGACAGCAGCGAGTCGGCGCAGGAGATCCCAGGACTAAGCAGCTCCGTTGAGTACGTTCTGGGGCTCATCGAGGATGAGGTGCAGCGGCTAGGCGGCAGGGCGGACAGGCTTGTGCTTGGCGGCCTCAGCCAGGGGCAGGCAACGTCCCTGTACGCGTTGCTGCGCTGCGAGCACAGGCTGGGAGCCTATGTGGGCATGAGCGGATGGTTACCGCTCGCTCACAAGCTCGATCAGGGGATGACAGTGGAGGGAGATTTACAGGGGGCTGAGGCTCCCACTCCCGTCTTTTTGGGCCAGCGGCACTCACGTCCGCAAGGTACCTCTCGAGCTCGCGTTGAGGGGCTCGTCACGTACTGAGCACCAACATGAACGTGGACGTGACGTGGCGGCAGTACGTTGGGGCCAAGTTGGACGGGCACTGGATCAAGGAGCCGGAGGAGCTGGAGGACGTAGCCGAGTTTCTCCAGGCCAAGCTCCAAATTGAAAACCATACCTAAAACTTCTCTTTCCAAGTTACTTTTGGAACTGCACTGTTAAACGTTAACTCCTCTAATCCCCAAACCAAAATCCTACGTTACCAATATGTTCCAAATACTTGTAGGAAAGCTTGTCACTTCTCATATCTCCTTAAGACACAATGGTTGTACAACTTTATGATATTGGAAATATCACTTCCACATAAATGAACCTTAAAAATTCATTTATTTCTTAACTCATTCTTGATCTATTTACAAATTTCTCTCATCCAATTCTATGGATAAATTTTTTGTCTCACCAAGATTTTTGAGATCAAACTAAGCTAAAAAGCTGTCTTTATATGATGACTATGGATCATAAAATAATATGTTGACAACTTGTTATACTGAACAACATGAGATAAGCAAAAATTCTTTAGTATAACAAATACTTTCAACAACATTCACAATGGGAAAAGATCCTTAAACTTATGTAAAAGTGATTGAATCCTTAGAAAAAGGGAATCCTCAATGTTATAATTAATTAAATACTTCGCTAATAAGACAAAATAAAAACACTCTACAATACATACACTCAAAGGTTTAGATCATTCAAAGGAAAATAGGAAACACTAAATTTGATATCAAAATAAAAACTAAAATTGTCAAAGTCAAAAGAAATTAATATCTCAAGAAAATAAAATATTGTAGATGAAGAAATACTAGAAACACAAGAAAGTGGCTCAAATCAAGAAATCTGAAAAGGCATGGAAAGAGGAATTATATAATAGATCACTATATGAAATCTTTAACTTGTCTTCATAATTATTTTTAAAGCAACCAAATTCCTCCTACTCATAAACATAAACATCTTCCAAGAATTTTATTACATTATCCATTACTCTTAAATCAATATTAAATCACGTTTAACAACAGCAAAAATTTTAATAACAAAAGACCATGTAATTATATCTTATGGAAGTTAAATATGGAAACACACTAAGTGCTAAAGTAGCATGAATATAGAATCACACTCAATAGCCATAACTCCAAAAGTTATATCTAAAGAAGAAACAAAAGCAAGAAAAACATTGCAGAATGAGGATAATAGAGTAGTATTTATAAAATATACTCCTTGATGGATGATGGTGTGGAAATGTAAATAAAGGAAAAATAGATTTGATATAAAAAATTACAATAGATTTAAATAAAATAAAACAGGAACAAATAAAAAACATGCTAAAAACTAATAAAGGTAACAAAATTGTGCTCTTCATAATGCCTTCCACCTCCATTAATGTAGGATATATTCATTGGGGTAAATACCCTTCATATATAGAAATTGATAAACTAAATTTAATCTCAATTTAATAAACATATTTACTATATAGTATTACATACATATAGTTATAAACTTTATATATGTGTGTGTGTGTGTGTGTGTGTGTGTGTCTATATATATATATATATATATATATATATATATATATATATATATTCTTTAACTATCTTTCTTTTACTGTTTTAAGAAAACTTTTAAAATATCAGAATATATGCTAGAGCTACTTAGAAATTTTTTATGTAAGTAAAAGAATGTGAGATATGTATATATTTTAAAAGATTATAATATTATTATACAGTTTAAAAAATATCAATATATATGTAATGTTTTCAACTCATAATACAACTATACTCTTTAATTGTGATGGAAAACACAATTATGCTATACTTTTTATGGAGTTTAATTTCTTTAAACTAAAAAATAAAATACATAAGTCATTCAAAATATTAATAAGTTTCTCATTTGCTTTCTCACCATCTTTATTTATTAGTATTATTATTTTTTTTATTGTGTCACTATAGTTTCTAGTATATTCTTTATACCCCTTAAAAATTACCTTAGAACACACTAGATGCATATCATTATTTCATTTCATTTCTTTTGGATGAGAATTAAATTTATGCATACCTTCCTACCAATATTTTGGTAGAATATTTAATATATATATTTTCTAAAGTGAGTTTATTATAACTTCTATATTATTTTTCACCTTTTGTATAGTTATTTCATATTCACATACAAACAAAAATTTTAGTTAGTTATATAATTGTAATCAAGATAAAAATGTATAAAATAAAATATATTATGTTATGAAAATTTTAATACATATATTAAATAAACATTGTACATTACCTTTTATCACAAAGTCTATGGATGTAATAAAACTGTTTATGATTAAATTTCATAAACTTATATTTTTCAAAAGAATGGTTTAGTTTCTATTTTATTCATCAAAAAAATGAAGATAAAAAATTGATATTGATGGCTTTTCTCCAGATTAGCTATTTTTCAAAAGAATAAAAGTTTTATTTTAATATAATAATAAATTTTAAAAATCATATTAGTTTTATCTTTCTTTCAAAGATTTAAAATATTTAAAACATTGAACTTAAATCTAAATTATGTATATAAAGTTAATGTAATAATTTATAAATAATTATTTGATAATATTTAATCTATTTTCAAACTAAAATTTCGTGGTTGTAATCTCATTTAAAAAAATCCTAATAATGTTAATATTTTTTTAAAATTAAATAATTCCATAAATTTTAATTTCTAAAGTGCTAAATAATTTAACAGTAAAATAAATATGAATTTTCATCTAAAACTAAAGTATAATAAAAACTAATATGTTATTATCTCACTAATTGTTTTTTTTATAATTTTTACTAATTATTTTATATTTGAATATTTTAGTGCTATAATCTTTGTACATATTTAATATTATATGTGTTTGGGTATATTTCATTATAATGCCATATAATGCCAAAGAATAATTGTTTTCTAGGTTAAATAACTTGGTTTTGCATAAAAGTAAAAAAGTTAAACCAAGCAGAATGATCATTTTAAGTTGATTCCTTGTCCAGGAGCATCGGTCATAATGTACTTCTTCGAGTGTACTGATAAAAAGAGAAAAAAAAAGTTAAAGAACGATACAGGCATCAAACACACCTTGATAACCACCTTCGATTGGATCCTCGGCAAGTAACAAGGGAGTGTCCAAGTCGATGTATCTACAAACAATCACTCGTAGGAAGGAGGATTCTCAAGTGTTATGCGTACCTGAAGAAGCCAAATCCGGCAGCAAGATGAGCAGCAAAGCCCATCCCCAATCGGGTCTCCACCATGCCTCCAATCATCAACTCTATCTTCTTCTCACGAGCCAGAGAGATGACCTCGAGAGCTCCAAGGACGCCGAGCTTCGCGAGCTTCACGTTTATCACTGGAGCAAGCTCCTCGTCGGCAATGCGCTGGGCGTCGTCCAAACTCCGGCAGCTTTCGTCGGCAGCAACGGGGACGCCATAGAGTTCTCTCGCCTTTTTGCTGACGAGCGCAAGGCCATCCCAGTCTGCGCGTGCCACTGGCTGCTCGAAGAGAATAGGAGTGATCCCCTGTTCTACATGAAGAGAAACATGGTTAAAGTTTGGAGACTAGAAAAGATTTGGTCACCTTGGAGCTCCTGTAGAACTCGTAAGGCTTCATGCGACGTGTAGCCTTCGTTTGCATCAAGAATGAGATTGCAAGTTGGGTGGCTACTTCGAATCGCATGGAGCATGGCAATGTCGGACGACAAATCTCTGCCTCCAACTTTGGTTTTCACCGTCCGGAAGCCTCTTTGAGCATATTCCATGGCGAGGCGAGCAGCATTATCCGGCTCACATATTGGAATCTACAAACAAGAGAAAGAACCAGCTCAAGCACTTACTCAACCCAAATACCGTGATATCCGTCGTGACAAAGTTGGATGCTCCACCAAAAAATTTCCAGAGTGGAATTCCAACGCTACGAGCTGCGGCATCGATCACAGCCATCTCAATCCCTGCTCGAGCCTGCCGTAGAGAAAGAAAATGTGAGAAGCTTGAAGAGAAGAAAAGAAAAATATGAGAAGCAATACTTTACGGAAGCATAGCCGTGGCCTGGAAGAAGATTTCCAACGCTGGAAAGGATTTCCATGCAGCTCAATCCTGGCTCAAGCTGCTCGAGCATCCGGCAGCATCGCCCAGCCTGGTCCAGAGCTACAGTCTGATCCTCCGCAGTGACTGGAAAGAGCGTCGGAGCTTCGCCCCATCCAACGCTCCCATCCGCGAGCTCCACCCGGACGGCCACATTCGCCACAGCCTCGAGCTTGGTGGTAGCGATCGCGAAGGGCGCTTTCAGCGGCACATCAAGCGGCCGTGCCCGCGCCTGCGCGATCCGCGGCCGGACCGATTCCAGCGCCTTCCGCCATGCGACATTACCGTGCTGATCGCGATCCTCGCCCGGCCGCATCGAGCAAGAAATCTTCCAGTTCCTTGCGAAGCTCCCCGCGGATCTGGAACCGGCGGCTGGAAGAGCGTCTGGAATACAAGCGGCGCTGCCGAAATCCATCGCCGGCGACGCGATCGACCTAGAAAACCTAGGCATAAGATCACTGTTGGAAAAAAAAAAAATCAAAATTCCCGCCTAAATCAATTTTAGGGTTCTTCCTCTGGCATTTTATAGAAAGCTTGTTTTAGGGCATTTTAACAGGACAGGGTTTAATGAGGCCGTCACAGGGGCTGGCCGATTCTCTGTTTGGATTGTGCGATGCGATGGACGGGGAATTCGAAAGGAACAAGGGACCTGTCGCTGTGCCAATGATCATCAATGCCGAAGAATTCCGGCGTCTCCACCTGGAAACGAGAGCGCACAAGCTGAATATGCTGTACCTCAAGGATAGCGGGAGTCTTTTCCTGCAACATGATCACTCCCTGCCCCATGAGGCCGTGCGCACGTACTGGTCCACGAAACTAGGGATGCAGCTGGAGGGGCTCAGCGTCCAGACCCTAGGGAATCGCTTGGTGGACGTTTGCCCAGGGGGGCTGGTAGAGTACAAGGATCGATTGCAGCAGGTTGATGTTCTTGTGGTGGAGAGATCCCCAGGTCAAAGTATCATCGCTGCTCGGGTGGTTTTGGTTGCCCAGGTTGTTTACCAGAACGAAGACATTGCCGAGGTGGTGGCCGATCTTGATGCGGTTACAGCAGCTGAGAATTCCGGTGCCAGGATTGCCCTTGCAATTCAAGTGCGCAAAGGGTGTGCTCCGGCTCTTCGCGTTTGGGTGAAGGCGAGGGGGGGACCTGTGGACAATCTTGATCCAGAAGGTGTGCTTAAGCTGGACTGGAATGAGTTGTTCGAGGTACCCGAGGTGAGAAATCAGTTGACTGCTCCTGGTATCTCTGAGATCAGCCTTGCAGCCGCGGCTGAACATGCTGCTATGTTCTAGTAGGTGTATTGTACTTAAATATTCTTAATACTCTCACTAAACTGTAATCTCTTTTGCCATCTCTCTCAGAGGAAACAAGGTTGGATTAGTTTGATGGTTTACATCTCACTCACCTGGCAATCAACTTCTACTCGTCATTGGCCTAAGTTTATGCCACTCAATCCTATCAGTGAAATTTAAAACATTGTCACAGCCTGAGAGCCCCAGCCAAACTAGCTTGAACCTTACAGGTTTCTATCGTGTTCATACAACTGATATGGCAGCTTCTCAAACACCTCCGCCACCTTTTGCATGCCACCACAGATCAAGCAAGAAATTTGCCACAAAAGTATCATCCTCCTTCCTTGGCCACAATCTTGTGCACCCACTTCACCTGCAACAGTACTTGCGGAGCACTTGTGGAGCATCATAGCGTAAGAACTCGCATCACTGCAACTCGCGCCCTGCCATGTGAGCCAAGCATGCCGTGGCGGCGAACACGTCTGTTGTCGAGATCAGGTCTCAACACCGAGATGTCACAAGCCCCAAATTGGAGATGATCTCTTGTCCCCTTGGACATCCTCGGCCTTCATCGGCAAACCATCGAGAGTTTCCATCAAAACACCATACTCTTAACTGCGATCCTCCTCAGGGATCGTGTACGTTGGAACCGGACTTGGAGGAGTTCTAATTGGAACAGAAGTTGCGGGAGCTTCCAAGGTGGGAAGCTTGCGGGAGCTTCCAAGGTGGCGGCTTTGCTAAGGACAGTGTCCAACAACATAAGTCCGACAACATCACTCTAAAACAATTCACTCTAAGTACAAAGACCTCCCCAAGCTTGGCAAGGCGTGAAGGAGGCTTTTCCGGGGCAATGATCTTGCCGTGACAGAGGATCGCTCGTGCGGCGTCCATGACCGGGATGAGCCTGGCCCAAAATAACATCCATGCATTTCAGGCCCGCCGTGATGAAGGTGGGAAATTTCATTTCTTTACAATTTGTTAATTGTGCTAATTCCATGCAGCAGCTCTGACTTGCCAAATACATTACGGATCCAATTGGTGTAGGCATATGATGATAGCTAATGTATTTTGTACGCCCATGAAATGTAGGCTGGTATGCCAATTCAAGTGAACTTGACAAAGTAGAACCATGTTGGGAGAGCGCAATCTAGTGCTCGAGATCCAGGTACGTCGTTTTTTGGTCTTTCTTTCTTGATTGATAAGTCATGCCCTGGTCTGCCTGAGAACCTCAACTCGTCCATGGAAATGCAGGTCCTTGTTGAGCGATCAGTGGAAAATTCTTTAGAACAATCGTGGAACATGGAGGCTCTTCTTCAAGACGATAAATACAAAAAGGTGGATGTCGATTGGGAGACGGTAGTTTTTTGAAAAAACGAGCCAGGACGAAGAACTCAATTAGCGTTTCACTCTTTCTTTACAGGTAACTCCATTTCCTTTGCTAGTCTTTCCCACTCAATCATCTTATTAACATACTGTTGCAGCCCAAAGAGATCAAACCTGATGCGGTGATCGCCCTCCACATCCCCAGTAAAGCACGACAACGGAAATTCCAGTACAAACGCTTCCTTGTTACTCTCGTCCAAGAACTCAGGCCCAAACTTTATCTCCGTCAGCGCCGCTGCGCTGCGCTCCTTGGCTACAAATGTGAGATCGAGCTCCCGGGTGATTTTGACACCAATCGCCAGCAGCGAGCCACTGGCTTCCCACATATCCACCGAGCTCTTGAGCGCCTCCAGCCCCTCGTTCTTGTACGCCACCTCGATCACGGCTCGCACTGGCTCGAGCCTTGAGGCGGAGAAATAGCTAAGGTCAGGCTCCTTGTCGCCCTGAATTGTCTCTAGCCGGGAGGCCCCGGCGGCGGAGATCACGTCGATCGCGCACTCAACCTCGGGTATCAACTGGATCTGGGTGATGATCGTAGCGTTGAACCAGTTTGAGATTGTCCGGTGCACGAGGGAAGGATCCCCGTACATCCACACATCGCCGGCCTTGTATTCTAGCCGCCAGCAACACTCGAGGCAACACATCCATTCATCATACGTTTGCCAAGGTACCTCTTGGGCCACAAGAAATGGCCCCTTCTCGCCACGGTCGTAGGCCGCCACGGCTTCCTGGAGCGCTGCGTCTAACTCTCCCATTGCACTGAAACTAGGGCTAGGGATTTGGGTGGCGAAAGTGAGAAATGTCGACCTCGCCATAGATGAAAGCTGGTGGAAGCTCGATCGCTGACCCAACTCGAATCTTTTAGCTTGCCCAAGAAACAAGGCGTTCCACCTCCACCCGATAACAAGCCCTCCTTTGCTTCGAAAACTTAGGACAACTTGGGGGAAAAACCTTGTTTCCGTCAGCTGACATGGTAGAACGCAGTCTTTTGTCTCCTCTCTCTGTAAGCCTCCGAAGTATCTGGTAAAACGGCAGAGTATCAGCGAACACAACCAAGTCATCTTGCCCGTCTGGCTTCGATATCTGAATGGTGCTTGCGATGGATGTAAAAGAACTCTTTTGTTGGTGGAGCGCAGTAGCAAGGAACCTTTCCCAAAAGACTGCCGATGTCAAGCAAGAAGTCACGAATCCCCTCCCAAGTGTTCGAGCTAGAAACGTTGAACGCGTCACAAGCCTGAAAAATACTTCCAATCTCCTCGGTGCTTGTGTCCACAAGCCCCCCTGCACGAAAACGAAGAACCTGTAAATGGTGGATGGATGAAAATCTCGACAGGCTCACTCACCGCTCCGAATCTGAATCTGGATCTATCCGAAATCGTGAAGGGTCTCTCTCTCGAGCCATCTTCGAAAGGTTGGCCGTGGCTTTTGATGAGAGGAACAGTGTATGCGCTGGCGGCGATGAGATGGGAATGCCACAGACTTAGCAATCGTCGTGTTCTTGATCTTGGTTGGAGCTCGTGATTGGGCTCTCGGTTTGGTGTTTATCACGGGGAGTTGAAAGGCAAGAACGTGCTGGTCGACGAGTTCATGGTTCCCAAGCTGATAGTTTCTGTCGACTACTTGTCCGTTTTGGATCTCCCTGGAGCTGGACGAGGCGGTAGACGAGATCCCTCCCGAAGTTCTTGCGAATCCATTCCCTTCAGATGTTTAGATGTCTACTCGCTTGGTGATGAACAAGTATATGGAGGGTCTCCTATAGAGCTCCAAGTTCCAGAAGGCATCTGAAAGAGAGCGTTTTCGACGAGATCTTTCCGTGGTCGGTGGATGCTGCTCTGCGGAGCGTGACGGGAGTGCTGGTCGTGGTAATTGGCCTTTGATCCCTTTTCTTCGTTTCCAGGGGCGACTTCTGGGAGAATCGTGGCTTTGAAAGCTAAAGGAATGCCTTTTGACTCGTGAGAGCCACCTATGCCAGCGATCGCATGGCGGAGACGCTTGCAGCAGCTGGCGGAGTTTGCTCAAATCTCTAGAAAATGGTAAGGCTCTTCTTCTCTTTTCTGGCTTCGTGAATTGCCTTCATCGTCCAGTGGCTTACTGTGTGTTAATGATGACTCTGGCAGTTGAAAACGTTGATGCTGGAGGAGAAGCTTGATGAGATCAACCCAGAACACACTAAAGCCAAAACGGAAAGGCGCTACCCTCAACTTATATCTCTTCAGGGATCCTAGAAAGGAAAGAAATTGATCTAAAGAAAAGCTCAAAACAAATTCTGATGGCAATGGCTCATAACTCACTTTTTCTGAACATGACAATGTAAAGAATATAAAAATGTTGCTTATAAAATGGGCTAGGGTTTCTAAAGGGGCTTAGCTAGGTGTGATTTTGCGACAGAGTTGTGCAATATGTACATCCTGCACCGTGATTTCTTGCGGGCGGTGGCTCCAAACGAAGGATTTCTGGAGCTATCCCGTGTCTGCGATGCATTCGAGTTTCCGCGGGAGGCAACGATCACAATCTGTGGACAATCGTTGCTAGGGACTGAGAGTCTCAGCTTAGAGGTTCTTCAATTTGTGGGTTTACGCTTCAACGAGGACGGGACTGTGGGAAATCCTTTCGGTGTGGAGGAGGCCGTCTTGCCCCACCCGGACGCTCCTCAACAGGCCGCAGTGAGCGATCCAAATCTCCTCCTCGTCCTCCATGACCCCTTTGCACAACCCTAGTGATGCTCGAAAAAAAAAATTCTTTTTTTCTTCAGGGACATGGATACCTGGGTGCCAG